TCTTGTCACAGGGGCTGAGATTTTACTAATAGATTCTGACTTCGGGAAAATTATATGCTCAAGTAGATGGGATTTTAATAGACAAGATCCCATCGATATTTACATGAAAATATAGTAAGCTGCACTGGCTGTTTAGAAATGTGTCTTTGCTTAGGGCAACTGCTAAAGCTAAAATATGGCCGCAGGATCCTACCAAGAGCTGCGTTGTCCCAGAGCGGCCCAGGATTTGAATGGAGGGACACCAAAGCAGATGGGCAGTGCTCCAGAGAGTTTTGATGGGCTGGAGGTAGCCTTTGCTCCCATGAATCAACCAATCAGCTTAGTGACTTAGTGACACAGACTGGAGAGCAATAACGTTTAAATGGAGATGACAAAGGATGTCATAGAAAGGTCCCAAGGCACCAGCTGTGACTTGGTCATCCTGGCCAAGGTCTCACTATAGTTTTTGCTTAATCTAAGTTTGTTTTTTTTTTTTTGCCTTCCAATTCTCACAAAAATTGTTTGCTGTTACCATGCAGTCTCATAGAAATCTTCACCTCTCTGTTATGCAAAGGAAATTTGCCACCCCAAAATGAGCATAAAATTGCTAAAATATGCCCTGTCAGAGAAGAACGAGGGTGAAAAAGAAACAAAGCCAGCAGCCATTCCTGTTCCATCAGTAGAAGGCGCAGCGTCCTCTCCTAGAGCAGGAAGACACAGGTAGGCTCAGAGCAGGGCCACCATGGCCACCCTCCCCAGGGTGGAGAGATGTCTCTCAGCTTCAGGGTCTGAAGCTGGAGGGGGAAGCATTTGCAAGCACCACAAACGTGTGAATCTCGTCTGCTGCCTGACGCCAACTCCAAGGTTTCTGCCCAGCTGCTTCCATATCCCCATGGCACATCACCGGAACGTGAGTTGACTACCTGCAAGGACATGGTCACTGCTGAAGACTCAGCGTTGCCTTATCATTTGACCAGAGCGGTATAAGGAATCCATTATGTGGCTCCAACTTGGGCTTATAGGATAAACTAAACAGAAAGGTGGCAAATACTTATCTAGAGGAACAAATGTCCGCAGAGTATCTACAATGCCATTTACAATCATATTAGTTAATGGGAGATCAATTATTTCTATTTATGACAAAATCAAAAGCACTAGGCTACAGAAACCCGCTGTGTCCTCATCAGCACTATTGATTGACTTGCAGCATGTTAACAGCTACTTTTCTGACACTCCCAGCTCCCCTTCTGTCCAGCCTTGTTTCCAGCACAGATCTTGCAGACACAGATTATTTGTGCATGTCGAGTGTGTATGTGTATGTGCAAGGCTTTGAAAGACCTTGCTTGCACTTGGAAAATATTTTCCTGGAAACAGAACTAGTGATAAAACTGCCTATGCTTGCTATCAGCCAGGAGCATGAAGCAGATGTCTGCTCCATAGCACTGAAAAACTCAGGTCCAATAGCATAATCCAACCATGCTGGATTTACCCAACATTTTTATCTTTCGTGCTGTTTTTCCTCTCTTCTGTACAAGATAAGAGTAATACTAAAAAAAATAAAATAAAATAAAAAAATAAAATTGGACAAATAGCCTTGTTCGTAGATATCAGAGGGTTTTTATCATTATTATTTATTTATTTAAAGCTGATTAATTCTTATCGGTGATGCCAGCTGTCAGCAAGATAAATATGACACCCCATTAACACCTGATTCCCCAGGGAGCGCTGCAGAGATGAATTAGGTTGCTTTGGTGTGGCACACATTTGGCTTGGCCCAGTTCCCCAAAGGACTGGCTATCTTTTTTTTTCCCAGGAGCACTCCAAACCGAGGGCGCAAAGGGCCCAGTCCAGACTCCCCATCCCATCCCCAATAAGTCCCTTTGGCTTATTGGGACAGAGAGGGTGATACACGAATGCGGATTCATTAGGCAGAACAAGTCCCACGTGTTGTGTTGCTCCTACAAGTAATAACTTCCCTCTACTGCCACCATCCCTGTTGGAGATGACAGGGAATGCATCTCCGTGAGTTACAAGAGGACAAGCTGAGAGAGATGACAGACTGGGCTAATGCAGTCCCTACTAGGAAGTGGGGAGCTGTCAGGATGGGATCTGCAGTGGTTGCAGAACTTGTTTCAATATTTCTGCCTCTCTGAGTCTGTTTAGAAATGGCAGCTAAAGGGAGACAGCTCTGGAGCCTTTCTTTAATAAGCAGTTTGGACTGCCTTTTCCTTTATAGTGTAGCCCCATTCCTCCTGCGAGACGGAAAGACTGAAGCCCAAGTCTTGGAAGTGGACAGGGTCCTGCAAAGGGCAGCTCAGAGCATCCATGCTAGGTCTCAACGTTGAATAATCCTAGTTAGGAGATGCTCTCCCACCATTGGAGGGTGCTAGGATGACACTGATGGAAGATGCTAAGAGAACATTGAGGCTGTCCTGCTAGACAGACAGCCTTTGTGAAAACTACAGGGATCTCAAGGACTTCATGCCATTGGAGCAGATTTGATCTTGACTGTTGTCCAGTTTCAGACAGCTGCTCCTCGGCATGTGCTTGTGGGCAAATGTAACTGGAGAGTGGATGGGCTCCAGGCTTAACCAATAGCATAGCAGGAATGATTGACCTTCCAGAGACCTAATCCTAACTGGGAGTCCTAGTTCAGAGCTGGGACCACAGGACTTCCAGCCTCATAGCTATTCCACCAGGAGTTTGACAGCTCTGGAGACAACAGTTCATAATGGGCTCTCAGGGATTCCTGGCCTTTCAGAACCTGAGCATAAAGTATCACCTCAAAAATACATTGAAAATCCCATCCTGTGCCTGGGGCTGTTGCGCTGAGGTGGACCTCAAAGTAATCTGTAAGGATTATGTGTCTAATTCCCTATATGTCAATAGGCATCTAATTCCCTTACTCAGCTCTAAACATCCCAAAGACCATAACTCAGCGTATTTAAGGATGTCCTTATATCCCACCAAACCCAATTGAGTCATAAGGTCTAGGTTTAGGTTTAAACGTTCACTTAATGCCATACTGAAGCAACCCTATTTCTTACGCTTCCACTTTTCCAGATCTCTAATTAGAAGACAAACATTCATTTATTTCACTTAGGGTTGCTGTGAAGCTTAACACCTTCATGTTTGTTTGCAAAGCGCTCTCAGATGCTTGCTTGAAAGGTACTTTAAAAGTTCCACTTAATCTATGTTATTTTTCTTACAGCCAGAGCCTTGCAGATGGTGGTTAGAAATGAGATATCTCTAGGTACAACATAAGTAATGTCATAACTTGGAGTCCCTCTGCATGCTCTGCTGTTGCACTATGCTGAGATACCAAGAATACTGCTAGTAAACTCTTTCTTGAGACAAATTGGGGGCCAGATTTTCATATTGCCACCCGAAGGCATAGGACAGCCTCCCATCCTCTTTGCAGCCCACTAAGTGGGCCACTTTTCTGCAATACCACCTGCACCTCCATGCCACCTGGGATGTGCCAGTCCTCACTGTTCCCATGAGTGCTGGTGGGTGAAAGTGTTGCTGCCCCTGGAGCAGGGCTTGAGATGATACTGGTTTTGAAGGAGATAGGTTGCCCAAGAGAGTAAGGCAGCTGAAGACTCAGCTCCTTTCTTCCTGGCTTCATCTCATTTTGGCCTTTCCATTTTTCGAGGAAAGTAGGTAATGATGCTTCCCTTCATTGAGGCAACGTTTTATTATTAAAAAAAAAAGAAAAAGAAGAAAGAAAAAAAGGAGCGCTGCTGCAAATCCTTGTCTATATACCTATACAGGGGTATCGATTTGAGTCACTTGTGAGTCAGTAGGACTTAGGGTCCTGGGCTGCTCAGATGCTGTGACAAGGCAGTACAGCAGCCCAAGAGGGGCTCGCTGCTCCCTGTCCAGTGCACGATTCAGCTGGAAACACAGACGGGAAGTTGATCCAGGGGAGGAGATACAAAGGGCGATACCTCCTACATCCTGCTCTTGGCTCCACTGAAGAAAGTTGGGCTGCTAAATTGTGCATGCTGTCTGCAGACTGTGCGACTGAATGACTGATGCATCATGGAAAGAGTTTTAAATAGCCTTGGGCAAAGCGGTTTTTCCTCTTCTGTTCTGAGGAAATCAGGTACACAGTAGAAGAACGGGAAAAGTGATTTACAGACTATTTAAAGCAGGAGGAGCTTTCATTTTCACTGGAAAAATGTCGACATTCTGGCAACACATCTTGCTTGAAAACAAATAAAATGACAACCAAAAGCCAAGGACTTTGTTTTCCCCCAATGAAATATTGAAATTTTCAGCAGGCAGCAGCAGGCAGAGCTCCTGGGGCAGGGAGGAGAGGGAAATCCGTCAAAAGCTTAGTTGGTGGTTGAAGAACAACAGACAAATTCCAGCCTCAGTAGGGGAACCTTGACCGCAGCCCCGGTTTCAGACGCGCGTCCCATAAAGCATGTCTCCCACTTCTGCCGGCTCTGACCTGCCTCCAGCAGCAGATACACAGCTCTCCGGAGAAGGCTGCAGAGAGCCGAATCCGGTGGGTGGGAGCTCACGCAGTGGAAAAGCTTAACAGCAGCCCAAATGGACGTGACGCAGCAGACAGGCGAGCGTTTATGGGCAAACCTGGTAAGAGGTTGTAAGTTGTAAGTCTTCAGGCTGACTCTTCATGGCTTTTTCTTTTTCCCTTGGAGAAGAAAAGCTTGTTCATTAAGAGAATTCTTTCTAATTCCATTGAGACAAAAATTATGTCAAACTCTCAGGAAAATCTGTTTTGCTCTGTCTTCAGCTACTTGCTTTTGACTAGTTCTCTCTCTCTCTCTAATGGAATTATTGAGATATTTTTGAACAGAACGGAGCCTTATCTTAACCTTAGCTCTCTTTTTGGAAAGGATGTAGTGCAGTTCTCTTATCTGGATAGAATTAAAGGCCTTATGATGTGTTTTTCCACCACCATCCCCTCCTTCCCAACCCCTCCAAAAACACTATAGACTCTAAATCATTATAAAAAAAACCTTTAATTTTGAAAGCAAAGGGGGATGGAGAGTTAATGAGCCTTTCATGGGCAGCTGGCAAAGAAATATGGAAGGAAACAAAAGCTACTCACGGGGCAGGTCTGCCGGAAAGGCTTTGAAAAATGGTCTGAACTGCAGATTAACTGTATTTGTTTTGTGTTTAGTACTGTCCTGCCTGCTTGTCGTGGAGGCTGGTGAGGCCTTTGCTAAATGCATGGAGCTATTTGCTTAGCTGTGCTGTTGTTTCTCTAAGCCCTTCCGTTTAAATGCCTCTGTTTTGCAACTTTTCATGGAGTGGCTTGTGCTGCATGGCTTTATCGCAACAGACGTTGCTGCGGAGGCAGCGTTGTCTCATGAATAAAGCACTATATTCAAGTAGGAATTCAAATATGCACCTCTTCCCTTTCCTGTTTGTCTCCGTTATCTGATGGAGCAGCTCTGTTATTGTAAGTGACTTCACTTCTGAAAATGCAACCCTCTCTGCATCTGGAGAGAGCAACACAGATTTCTGCAAGCAGCGCTCACCTATTCTTATCACTGGGCTGTTAAACACTGCCCGAAAGCATGTGATTTGCAGAGCTAAAGGACTTTTGGCTCCAGCCCTAACATACAGTGCGATCTCGGACACATCCGTTCGCTTTTCCCCCGTTCTTTCCATGCCCCGTCTCCTGACTCGCTGGTCGGGAAATGCTGCTGTCTGAACTGTCACTTACCGCTCGCGCTGTATCACGCGGCCGGAGCAGAGCGCCAGGGGGGTTACGGCAATGTGAGACGGCTGTGACAAGGATACAGCCATGCAAATGTGCCCGGGGGCTCTGGCATATGCCTCTGCTCACGGCAACCTTGAGTCCTGTACCCACGACAGCACCTTTGGGTTCCCAGGAGGAAATGCCAGGTGTCTGTACACCCCCAGGATGCCTTTTCCTGCAATCTGCTCTGTGCAGCTCCCAGACAGCTCCTTTGCTGCCGGGCTGTGATTTCCCTGCAGCTCAAGGGCGGGCTGCTTTCATGGGTCACTGGACATCCCCGTTAAGTCTCAGAAGCAGCCTTGGGCTCAGCTCATAGCAAAGCAGACTTAGCATGAATTGAATCTTTGTTTCCAGTCCCAGGAATGCTCTAAGCAGCTCTGACTGCGCTCTCTGCACAGCCTGTGGCTCTCTTCTCGCAGAAAAATCACTCCGGCTATTAGCAGAGCCTGGTACCCTTAGGGTAAGAAGTGGAGATTTTTCTCTTCCAGCTGGGGGAAAAAGAAAAAAAAACAGTTAGTCACATATGTTTGCATTTGCCAAACATTTGCAGGATGAGACATATATAGAGGGGCTGAATATAGATATTCTGCACCCACAGCCCATCAGGTACCTCTTGCTACCTCCTGAGCCCCTCATCCTTCCCATTTGCTCTCTCTTGCCTCATAGTTCCTTGCAGGGCCTGTCATTTCTGTGCATTTCTGCACAGCACCTCGCACAGAAGGGGTTGTGGTCAGTTATGGAGGAGTCACCACAATGTTTTAATAAATGTTAATGGCAGACAGAGAAGTGGGTGCCGTGGTGTGAATTCACCCTGAGTGGTGACCCAACCCGGACTGGTGTGTTTGGGTCACGAATGCTCTGTGGCATCGCCCGACATGCAAAATGCATGTGAAAACAGTTGGGAGTTAAATACCACATGTCAGGAGATGCTTGATGGAGTCATTAGTAAAAGCAGTGATGTGGCCAGCGTTCAGGGGAATTAATAAAAGCATTCAGCCCTAAGGCCAGGAGGAAGGATAGCACCCAGGAAGGAATGATGTGAGATTTGGAAAGAAATGAGGAGTCAATGAAGTGGAGATGCACAGGGAGGCCACGGAGGAGCTTTGTGCTCTGAAGGCAGGAACATCGAAACGGAGCGGGGACGTGGGGCTGCAGAAGGGAGGCAAGGACCCAGCTGCAGCCCCAGGGGGCTTAAGGGGTGGTTTGAAACACGGCAGCCTGAAACAGAAGCCTGAAATGAAGTCTCACCTCATTGGCAGTGGTGCAGCAAGAAGACGGTCTCCGGGGCATTGCAGAGAAGCTGAACGTCAGATAAGTAGAAGAGGGGAAAAAAAAAAAAAAGGAAAACAGAAAAGGCCATATTCAATGCAAGTAGGACCTGTTGCATTCAGTTATTAAATCTGTTTCAGCTAGGGATGGCTCTGATCCAGGCTTCTGTGCAGGTTGCGAGTTATTTTTTTTTTCTTTTTTAAGAAAGCCCAAAACCAGCAATAAAAGTTTGACGCCCTTTCCTAGCACGGCCCCAGCAATTTGAATGACGACAGAATGACGACGAGCACAAACGCAGGGGGAAATTCGCTCCAGAAAGCACTGCGCACCTGATCTTTCCACCCAAGCGTAAGCAGGGTACCCACAGACCTGTTCTCCTCCTGTGCCTCCTTTAAGTACCTTTATAGCTCAGGGCTGCTGGGCTCATCCAGACTGGGGCGGGGGGGGTGGGGGGGGTAGATGTATCTGCATTTAAACTTTCCCTCCCCCTGCTAGGTGGCAGTTTCTACCTTCTGCTGCTTTGAATCAGGAGATGCAGAATTGCCAAAGGAAAATAAAATAAAATGTCATCTTTTTTATTTAATATTTAACTGCTGCTTAGACTCCTCCAAGAAAAGACCCTGATATTACTGTTTGGATTGAATTATGATGACTCCGCCTGAAAGTTATATATTGCTGGTGCTCCATTATTCATTCATCGTAGCTTTTCCTGTCAAGATCAACATGTACTTCTCAGCTGGTGCCTTGACTGCGTAATGCCTCAGATACTAAGGGAATGTAAAAAAAGATGCCTCTTAATTGTTTGGGGATTTCAGACATGGCTTTTAAAATGTCAGTGATGGTTCCTGAAAGATGGCATTCTTTTCCCCAGCAGCTTTAGATTGCCAACAGATGTTAACAGCCCCCAGCTCCACCCAATCCTTTATGAACTATAGAGAAAGTAAACAATATCGGGATAGAGGCAGCAAATCCATTCCTGGGGAGCGGGAAAAAAAAAAATCAAACCTGTGGCTCAGTGCAAGCTGCACATCATTCGTTGCACCGAGGTTGGTCTTTCAAAGAGCGATGAAGCTGCCATCAGATTGGGAACTTTAGGAGGACGTAACCAAAATCTAGGGCACTTCCTGAGCTGCTTTGTTCTGCTGCAGCCCAAGACTGGGCACTTCGGGGTCAAATCCTTGCTCTCCAGCAGGTTTTACCTGGGCAAATCGCCTGGCCTCAAGGTGGTTTGGCTCTTCCTGCTGTAGGGAGTAGAGGCATCAGAAAGCAGACAGCATCTGGCCAGTGCAGTGGGGGATGCTCAGTACTGTAAGTTTATGGGTTATTCTCCTGCATTTTTCCACCAAAATTACTGCCTTCTACTTCATTCCTTAATCAGCTCTTTAGGACCTGGATTTCCTATCAAACCTTAACTTTTCAGCTTTGGATGAGTCGGATTCCCAGTGAAATGCTCTACATTCAGCGGAGCTGGAGCGAGTTACTAGCTTGTACCTAGGAGGAAAGACAGGTCTCTGCTATACCAGTCGCCACGTGTGGGTCTTCATGCAGCGTGCAGCATTATCCTAAGTGTGCATGCACACTAGTGTGTGTGGGAACATGCATCTGGGCTGTGCATGGTGCGTATGCAACCGTACGTGAACATTGCCTGCCTTGGAAATAGCCAGGCACAGTTGGGAGCCCGGTCTCACGGACCTGGTGCTGATGAGAAAGCCTCCTCCATCTTCTGCTCTTCTGCAGGCTTTGCTGTCTGTGCAGGCAAGGCTTAGCTGTACCCCACCCCTAAGAAAAACCTGCCATCCCCAAAGCTCCCTCCAACTGCAGCTATTTCCACAGTCACTGGGAACATGTTTATTATAGGGCAGCCAAAAATCTAGTATTCAGTGGCAGCCCTGTGCTCCCCTCACTTGTCCTTCAGTTTAATGGGATATGGGCATAAATCATAGATCTGATACCGCACATGGGCTCTGGCTATATTTTTTTTATAAAGAACATTTGCTCTGATTTATAGAGCACTGGGTTTTGAATTAGTCTAGCTTGAAAACTGAATCAAATCTTTCCATCAAGTCTGTTTTTTTGCATTATAAATGGCTTAGCTGTTTAGTAATGGAATGCCAATCAGCCATTGCTTTTCTCCATAGGCAATTCTGAGAAGATCATTTCGGAACATAGACTCTGTGATTAACTGAAATGAACTGTAAAATTGTATTTTGTTTAAAGCTTTTTCTTTTGCTTGGAGAGGCCTGGGCTGAGGCTGTAGTCACCTCGCGGGTGGTGTGACGGGGGTTAAAGGAGGAGGGGGACGCAGAGGGGGGACGCATGCCTTAGCTGGTCACCTTATCTCTGCCAAAGTTTTCTTATGTGTAAAACAGGGATGATAATTTTCTGTGTTGCAGGGATGGCTTAAGAGTTAGGACCAAAGCTCAGATTTGGTCTACAGACCTGCCCAAAACAGTAATGGCTCATTTCTTACTTTAAAAGCAGAAGAGAAAAGGTGAACTCGTCGGCATGGCGCTCCTGGGATGCAGATTGTTGTCATCTCTGCCAGACTCTGTCCACTTGCAAATCTCAGCTTCATTGGGAGCTGTTTCCTGGCCTGCCAGGAGAAAAAGACACGATATAAACCCACAGTGGATCAATAAGCTGATTTTAGGACGAGGCCAGGAGGGAAGAAGGGTTTCCGTGTGCACCAAGCCACGCACACAGCCCCGCTCTGGGCGATGCAGCTCCGCACTCACAGCTATGGGCAGCTGGGGACAGGCACATGTTAGGTGGCACATAGAGAAAACAGACGCACGGTTATCACCCCAAAAGCCATTCTCAAAGCTTGGCTTTCTACTTTTCTCCCACAGATACACAAAGCCGCTACAAACAGCCGGTCCGAGCTGAGCCAGGACCCTCAGCCAGCACTTTCTGCATCAATCTCAGGGCTTCACTGGGAGCTGCAGCAGCTCCTGTGGAAGAGCCATCCCAGCCTAGCGTAAAAAATGACAAATGCGCAAAAAATCCCTGATGTCCCCAAGTCAGTCAGGCTGCTGTTAATTACCCTCTGTAAGAAAAGCGCGTGCCTTATTTCTCGTCAGAATTTGTCAAGCTTCAGTTTTAATGAACCTTTCTCCACCGATGTCCATGACACCAAGGTGACAGAGCTCTCCACCTTCAACTCATATTTTTGCTTTGTCGCATACACAGGAGCATAAATAAGCTGTTTTTCAATCAAACAACCCAAGGTTCTCCAAATCTTTCATATTCAACTGAAGTGAATTATTCAGTGAATTATTTTGCTGTATTTAATGAGTTCCAGTTTGATTTGACTAAATATAACTTTACAAACATGTTCTGTCTGCTCCCATCCATCTCAATAGCAGCTTTGAGATATTCCTTTAAAGTTGTGTTTAGTGGCTTTGGGTTAGGTCTCATTAATACAGTAATGATTTTCCTAAAGAGCTCACGCGCTAAACCCACTCTACGGAATACATTAGTGAAATCACTTTAAATGGGCTGAAATAAATAACTTTCCAGAGCTTTCATGACGCTGCTCCAGAACATCTGAGCAGATGTATCCTTGAATGGTGAAATGAAATTTATATGTTTGTATAAAACACTGATGTAATTCCTTGTGAGCTAACATCGAGGCAGACACAGGGGCAAGGTTATAGGCTAGCAAAGGGAAGGAAAAGGGCTCCTGTTTCAACTCAGCTACTTTCACGTAGGGGACTATTAGGAATTTCACTTAATGTGCCTGGTGTCTTCCTCAGTTCCTTCCTCCACCCTCACCTCGGCATCTCCCTGCAGTACAAATAATAATTCAGAAAACTAGGAGAACAAGAAAATACTTATGTGACTATCAGACTCCAAATTACCTGCTTTCCCACAGATTTGCAGCTCACAGCTCACTGAGTTCTGGTTGAAACTTTTTTGCTGCTAAGTCTCCTCTGTTTTCCTCCTTGCTCCCTGCTACCCCGTGCAGAGGCTCAGATGTCTAATGAAGTACGAGACGATGCTGCAAGGTTCGCTCAGGGTATTTGCAAGGACTTTCTCCTCTGCTCAGCCACCCGCTGTCATGAAATTTGCAGAAACATAATGAATCTCTATTTCTCTATCAAATTTGTGTAAAATGAGCTGACACATTCACAATATACTGAGGTGGCAGAAAACACAGGTACACACACACACACACTACAGAGTAGTTACTTTTAAGCTGAATTTCAGTAGAAGAACAGACTAAATGGCTTCACAAAGTTTGACTATATACAAAGTCATATCTGAGTGCAAGGTCTCACTGGGAAAGACAGCCTCTGCAGTCAGTCGTTTTGGCATCTGAGAGGTACAGCAGCAACAAGTGGCATTTCTAGTCACAGCTCCTGCCTCAGTTTCCCTCATGGAAAGACAGGGATGGTGATGATAATGTCTCTTTTCTTAACCCACTTTGAGACTGACAGATGGAAAAGCTGTCTAAGAGCAAGGTATTCTTAGTATTAATTCACCGGTGGCCAATTTTGTACCCGGGAACAATATGTGTTTGATTGTGCCAGTGCCAGTAGATTGCATTTCATAAGTGTGTCCCTGGAAGAAGCCAGAGCTGGGATCTTTCTCAGTGGGAACAACCACGAGCTGTGATGTATCGCTTCACGCTGGAAACATTTATAGCGTGCTCCTCGCAGTGGGCATCCGCAAAGCAGCTTCTTAAGCTTTTATCACAGCAGGGTAATATCGACAGCCAATGAACTTTCCCTTTCCGTAGCAGTTAGAGAGGGATAGATATTAAAATCCTCCACCCGCTCGGCTCCCCGTCGATTTTCATCCATGCTAAGCAACGGGCTTATCACAGGGTTATGTCTCACCAGGAGAGCAGCTTTTTTGGCACCGTCCGGGAGGAAAGCAGCCCGGCGAATGCAGCACGCCAGCATCTGCCCTCCCAGCCGCCGCGCCCCAAATATCGGCCCCGGGGGCAGCACCCTCCACAGGGTGACATATCCATGGGTATCCCTAGGAGAGATTAAAGCCAGGGAGATCACTCAAAGGTGCAGTACGGACTATAGAGCAGCACCCACTGACCCATCTTACCCCTTGTCCAAGCTGCAGGGCTGTGCCAATTCACACCCCCTGGGGCGTAAAGCCACAAGTGGGAGATTGGCTGGGGCCACAACGAGCTCCTGATTCTCACGGAGGGACAAGTTCAGCACTGGGACATGGAAAGGATGCGGCTCAGGAGGTAAAATAATACAAACTCAGACAAACAAGAGTTTGTTTCTTCCTCTCTATCTCTTCTCTTTGTCCAGAATTTGAGCCAAAGGCCATTGAATCAACAAGATTTCCTGGTATCAAACCATTTGGGGTCAGGATCTTTTAATACAAGGGAGGAAATGCATCCCCACGTTTGCAAACAGCATCCAGATTTATTATCATGATCGTTATTATTGAAATATCACTCACGATTCCTTTATTGATTTGGGCACATAAAGCAGGGATTCAAATCTGCGTTAAAATAACAGCTCCACTGCAACGCTCGGTATTGATGGACAGGGAGCAATAACACTTACTGGAATGAAAAGCCCAAGGTGCTGCAGGCAGCGGCGTTACAGGGAGGCCCAGTAGTGCCGCTGCTGCAAGGGCAGAAGCTTCGGGCAGAGGAATTATCCTTCTGCGCTGTTTGTACAGCACCTAGCACCCTGGGGCCTGGCGCTGGTTTGACTGGGTGCTAGCATAAGAGTGAGCAGTCATAAGAAGGGACTAGGCTCCACAGCACAGTTCTGAGGAGGAGTCTAGAAGAGGAGCAGACCAAGATTTCCAGCTGAAGCAGGGGAGTGAGGCTATACCTGAGTGCAGGAGCGATGCCCAGGGCGTGACAGCATGGAGGAGATGCTCACTGCTGCACTCAGCTCCTAAACATCTCTGCGTTTGCTTCCTTCTCCTGACAAACTGGGGGACACACCAGTTAAAAGTTCCCAGACCACCTACCTGGAGACAAAGTTCTGGCCTGTCCTTTCCAAAAGCTGGTCAAAGAGGTGCTGTTCTCATAGACGGCAATGGGATGAACACGCCTTTGGGGTGCCACGTGCTCCTGCAGAGACTCCCTGGCCACTGGGGCTGACATTACCCTTCTGTTCCTGGAGCTTCGAATGGACATGGGGCAGAGCACGGCTCATGTGTCAGCACCTTGGAGGACTTCATTTCAGAGACTCCAGCTGTTGGGTTTGATCCATGTTGCAAGCTCAGAGGCTCTTAAATAGAGCCATATTTGTACAGAAAAAGCCAATTGGGTGATTTTCCCAATAACTTTCCATTGAGTGATCCTGCATTCAGGCCTGAGGAAAGGGGAAGTTAGCAGCTCGCAAGGCAAAAAGTTTTAGTTTTACTTTTTTTTTCCTCCTCCTCTTCCTCCTCTGAAATGTATTACTTACGAAGGCAAGGGCCCGGGTGAGCAGAGCGGTGCAGCAGTGCTAACGGCAGCGCTTGGCACAGCCAAGGCAGAGGCCGTGGCCTCGTGGGGAAGCACCATTGAAGAGATTGAGCTCAGAGCAGGGCAGGACAGACCTGATCGCTCTAGAAACGCCAGGGCCTATTGCCTTTTCATTCTCCACATGCACGTTTTGGGAGGGTAATATTCATATAACCTCTCTCTCTCTCTCTCTCTCTCCACTACCCCAGCTCCTTTCTTTATCTATCTGTGTACTTAGATTTCCAGCTACCTATCTGCTTGTATCGAATAGATTAGATAAAGATTTAGGTGTAAGGATGGATGGAGATGGATTGGCAAAAAGCTATCCAGCCATCCATCTATTCCTCCACCTATCTATCTTTCTTCTTAAATCCTGATTCATTTCCAATCATAGGGAGAGAGCTATCCTCCTAGATGAAGACTGAGGATAGATAGATGGATGGTTAAGCAGATCTTTATTTAATCTATCCATCTATCTATCCTCCTAGACCAACCTATCAGCTCATCTAGCCTAATTTTTTCTCTCTCTGTCTAAGCTCAGAAACCCCGATCCATCTAGCTCCCAGTTAGGATTTACTACAGCTTCTCTCATCAAAGAGCAAATGTGTTTGACCCTTTTCATTACCCATAAAATTACTTGCAATGCTCCTTGTTTTTGGTGATTGTAGCTGAGAGAAGCAGAGGCTGAAAGCTAGCAACTACCAAGGCACTCTCACCAATTAAACACCAGGCTAATCATCACAGGCGCCAGTGAGCCGAGAGCAGCCAGAGCAGGGGAGGGTGCAGAAGAGACCCTCCAGCCAAAAAGAAATCCCTGTGCGTGAGACCCACAGCTGCGTTATCTCATCACACATGAACAGTTTGTGCAAGGCTAGAGGTGAACGCACCCACGTGACGACTCTGCCGCGGAGGTGCAAACGTGCCCTGAGCGCGTGAACGCAGCGGAGTGCCGTGCACCCGAAGGCGGCGGGGGACTTGGCCCTGCTGCTGGTCTCCGTGTCTCAGCACACCGCATTGTTCACAGCAGAGCAATGACAACTGCTTGTTCTGGAGAGCACTGGGAGCTGGTTGCAGAGAGCCCGCTGCGGAGGCAAGCAGCAAAACCGAACACTGCGAGGCCCCGAGGTCTTCAAGCTCAGGGAGAACAAAACCCAGCTCCAATCCTCACCACTCACCCACTCTGGCCGTCAGGTGCTGTATCCCACCTCCTTCCAGCAGTGGGGAAACGGTGCTGCAGAAAGAAGAAAACACGAGGGTGTCAGGAACAGAGCTGGGAAAGGAAGGACTCGGGAGTCCCAAGCCAATTCTCTGTCCCGATATAAACTCCGGAAAACCAAATGGATCAGATTTTGTACAAGAATTAGAAGAAGTTCACATAGTTCCCCTAGCATCAGTGGATCAAATCTACTTGGACAGTACCAGCTTATAAATTACTAACAGCAGCCCTGAACTGTACAGTTTTCCCGTGAAGGAGGGGGGATTCTGTTCTGCAACTTCTTGATGTTCGTCTAATTAAATACCCTGCTCCCATCTTTCTCTCGCACACCGTGACAGGTAATTTATGACAGCACACAACTTATTATTGCAAATGTTCCCTATTGCTCTGATAGCACATTTCCCTCCCTGGTACGCTATTCACTTACTGAAGAGAAATGATCTCGGCTAGTGACCATTGCTGCAGCCCTGGAAAAGATTCCAGGGAGTTTATATCGTGCCTTAAAAACCAAGGAAATTAAAGGAGGAGGAGAAAAACATTGACCTGGAGGCTAATTAAGTCTTCAGTACAGGAAGGAAGCTGGGACTTACAGAAAATATATATTTGTCATAACGGAAACTTTTGTGCAAAAAAAAGGCTATATGCAAGCCCCCTCTCCTTTCTGTCTGCCTCCAGGACATTTCCGCCTTTGTTAGAGTTTCAGCATTGACATTTGCAATATAAAAGAAATTTGTGGTTTGAAACGATTCTGCGTTTCACAATGTTGAGCTGATTATCATGAAATTAATTATTACAAACATAAAGTTAACACGGCAGGGATGGAAACAAAACCTCCCCAAATTGCCAAGGGAATTATTTTCACAGATCAAAAGCAATTTGTTCTCTCCGGCTTTTGTATTGCAAAGGCTGTTAGAGAATTCCTCTTTCCATCCCAGCGAAGTCGGCAGAGGGTGTCTGCTGAACTTGCAAGCATTTTTGCAGGGCAGGAAAATCTTTCCTCATGCAGCATAAGCGTCAGTTTAGTTTTATAGAGTGAGTCGAGGTACCAAATCCCAGCAAACACCCCTTGGCACTGCCAGGGACAAGGCATCGGCCCATTCCCTTGTGCACATCTAATAGCAATATTGCAGATACTAAGGACCAGGGCCCAAACAGGACGTGGTGAGACTGCGAGGCTGGACTGGACAGGAGAGTCATAGGTCAAGACTGAGGTGCCTTGTCGGGGTTATATTTAGGGAGCTGACAGTAAAAAAAACAGGGCAGGCTGGAGGAGCCGACGTGCACCAACGGCCATTGAGGTGGCAGTTCTTTCACTGCAACTCTGCCTGACCAAGGTAGCTTGTCCTTCATTTCCTGAGCTACAAATTCACTTGGACACATGTTCTGAATTTAGAAGCAAGCACATTCAGTGTAATTCATATTTTATGAGGCCTCTTCTAGGGCCATTGTAAAAGAAACAACTGAATATGATTCACCCATTCTTTCCATTCCCCTCAAACTAACTAACAAGCATCCGGAATGACGAAAGGATCTGCTCAAACTGCACCATGAATCAGGAGGTTCAGGAGTCTGTGAACACCTCAAAATTTGCTATGCGCTAATGACACTTTAAGAATTACAGGATGACTTTTGCTCTCACTGCAGTCCAGGACAGCCTTGCTGTTTTCACACTGAGGCAGGTTTGGGGAGGAATTGACTTAAGTATTGCAGACCTGGTGATCCAAGAGCATGCTCCGTCCCAGCGTTGTGGTCTTGTTGACTGTTTTTCCATCATCTTCTGCTTTCTTTCTTTTTTTTTTTAATCTTAGAGACGCCGTGGACACAACTACATCAAAAGAGGTGAAGGTGCAAAATCCAACGCTCAAACCTCTGACAGCTCAAATCTGCCATTTTAATATTCGTAGATATGGATATATATGCACATATATACACTCCAGCTGCTAATTTAGTACCAAAAAAATGTGAGGGCCTTATTTTTTCAAAAATAAGTCATGGTGTTTCAACTGCCCAAACAGATAAACCTTAGAGACAGGATTCTGCACTGCCCAGATGTGCTACACTCTCAGAAACCAGCAAGCCCCTCTGACCTCTCCCAAAGGTTTTTCCTTAGAAATGGAGGGTCCTCAAAATTATAGCTCCCCTCCGAAAATGAAGGCAAAACTTGTCTCCTTGCCTATGTCTACGTTAAAAAGTTTTGCAGTGTAACGGGAACTGAGAATGCTGAGGCCCCAATGTCTATGTTGTGTGAGTTTGGGGGTTCCCTTTGGAGCAGCCTCAGCCCTGTTCCATGCTCCAAACATGGCTGGGGCACGCTGGGTTGCTCCTGGAGCACAGCTAGGTTCTTCCAGACAAAAGCCCATTCACGCCATCTGGGATGGCTTCATGGCATGAACCAAAACACAGCTGATGAGGACAGCACGAGGAATCCCTTCACAAGCACATCTCGGTTCCAGCTAAAACAGTAATGGAGATGTCCCCAGAGAGGCCAGGCAACTATCCCTCAGCCAAAGCTTGGAGATTTGGAAATTCAAGTCTGTAAAATTTCTCTCCACCCCCTCTAATCTATAAATCATCCCCTAGCCATTTGTTTTGGGGAAATATATATAGTCCCTGCCATAACCACAGTGAGATAAAGCATTGTAAGTGTTACGACATGTGGCTAATCCCTTTAATAGATCTCTTGCTATTAATTTAAATGCTTGCTTTGGCTTTGCTAGGCCCTGTCATTATTCCCGTGGATTATGTCTTCAAGGTGGCCTATCTGCCTTATCCAAATACTTTTCATATTTCAAACTCTCGAGCTCACTTAGCATTCAGCACAAAACCAGCCAAACACCTTGCAGAGCCGCTGAACTGGCGAGGCATAAATCTGCCACCCGTCTCGCAGCAAAACAAATGGCTGCAAGTTAAAAGGAAGAGTGCTACATACTGTATCATTTAGCAGCGATGATCTTAAATGCAGCTGCAGATAGGCACAATTTGCTCGTTCATTGAATAGTGGGAAGGTACATTTTCTCAGCAGCCTTGTAGGCCAGTTGGAATGGAGTAGCGCTGACCTGAGAATTACTAGAATGTATCCGGTCCCGTCTGCTTCCCTATAATTGACCTGCTTGGGCACACTGAAGGTCAATCAGCAAAGTTTCTTTTTTGTTCTAATTACAGATGGATTTTTAAGACACAACAGAGAGCGATTGAGGCACCTCTGTGTCCTTTCCCGAAGTTAACGGGCCCTGACGCTTCTAAACCTCATGCTGAGAGACATCAGGAGCTTCAAGGATGTCTTTCCAGCTGGCATCTCCCTGTAGCCCTCGCAGAGTCCCAGGTCTATCCAGTGGTCGCGCGTTCGCAGCTTGAGTGTTTCATCCTCACAGAAGTGCGGCAGGGGAAGAGCTGGGGCCGACCTGTGCTTGGCCGTGCCTCCCAGGTGAGGATGAACCTCCGCACTGAATTTATACCAGTGAATTCTCCTGCTGCTTTCCCTCAGCTTGCACTCATGCCAAACAAAGGTGAGCTCTGCCTGAGGAAAGAGCAAATGAAAAGTCCAGCGAGGACATCGAGAATACGACCTTCTAATAGTACATTACCGTCCACTTTGAAATAATTACACGCACTACAAACCGGACGCTTCCTGGGAAGAAGCTGTCTCGGCATCAGTTCACAGGCAGCTCATCTCAGTAATGTTGGGCCAAGCAGAGAAATCAAACGCCGGACCCCCCTGGACCCATGTCTGAGCCCCAAGCCCCTCACCCACTGTCTTTGTCAAGGAGCTGCAGGATGTCAAAGCCAATGAGGAGATACTGAACCTCGTTGGCTTATGTTCATTTCTGGTAAGTAATGACTATTAGTATTCAGGCCAAAGACCTCGCAGCATTATACAGTTCAATATTTTCTGCCCCTATAACAAAGGCAATCCATTTTGCATGCAGAACACAGGAGTGCAACCTTTTGTTAGTCGAGTTTCTTAAATTTTTATCTCAAAAATCAATGCAGGAATTGGAATTCCACATCTCATTTTACGGTCAGGAGAAAAAGAGGGAGAGCATGAGGGAAAATGATGAAAGAGGGGAAAGGGAGAAAAAAATCCTAGCTCAACCAGATATGCTCATAAATTCTTTAACAATTTAATTACTGTGCATTTTGCGCTTTGGTTTTAAAGCTTTGAATGAGGGTTGGTTTTTCTGTTGATTTTTTTTTCCTCTGCAGAGTCTATAGAGTTCCTTGTCTTTTGTAGTTGATCTTCTTGGAGAAAGAAATTATTCTCCATCCAATTAATCTAATTAGAATGTAATCAAGTTGTAGAGATCTGTGCAGCAGTGTGAGTGATTAGGAAAAATTACCTTTCCACAAAGAGTTTAAATTTAATTTTAGTTCCATAATCTAAAGCCCAAATAAAGGAAAGTGTAATTTGCACTGCAATACTTCGTGCCATGCTGCCTGTTTCCTGGGTTGAAGAGCGAATTTCAGCTGTATTCACAACAAATCACCCTGGTGGTTCACAGCTCAAACCACGCAAAAGCAACAGTTTCCGTTTTCCAGAAGGAAATGGGAAGACACATTTCGCTTAAGACGACCCAACAGGTGGTTGAGAACAGACCTAGGTTTTTAGTGGTCAAATCTAGGGTTTAACCCATTAGACCATTACACAGAAGAGCTACCATCTGGTGGGTTGCTGAGAGCAGTGTCCTTTTATATCAACCATGATCAATGCTTTAGCTTTCAAACGAAAGTGTGTGAGCACCCCTGCAGCAAGCCAGAGTAAATCGGAATATTCTTTATTTTCTATATTTTTCTCCCTAAATCAGAATAAACATTTGAGATCTCAAATTTATCTGCGCAGTGACATAGTCTGAAAACACTTCCACCACATCAAGAGGTTTCCAGGGCCATAAATAGTTCAGTCAATAGTAAAGAATTAAACTTGTATTTTTTTGTAATTTACTGAATTATTTCTTTGGGTTCCAGCCCTCCCATTTCCACTTAGCTGAGATATTTCATTTCAGACATAGCTTTACTTTCCCTCTGGGAAAGGTTTCTGGGGGAGTAGCATCACTCCCAGCTCTTCAGCGCATCAGGAAAGTGAAGACAAAAATTTTTGCATTAGGCTGCATTAAATCTGACTGAAGCTGGTGAGCAGAACAGCTGCCTTTCATGCTAGGCAGTTGTGAACTATCAACACCTGAATCTCGAAAGCCATCTACCCTTTAGAGACCTGTCTCAGCCAAAACCTTGCACCAGGCCCACCTACTCTCTCCTGCTACTTGGATGCAAACCCTCATTCCAGAATTTGAGAAAACATCTCCCAGAGATATTCAGTCCCCAAAATCATAGCCCTGCTGAGCTTGATTCAGCTGCTCAGACAAGATCTCCACTACACTTCTGAGTTTCGCCCTTGAATCCCTATACGCACGTTCACCAGCCAAAAACTAAGCAACGGAAATGTCCTTGTGATGGAACACACATACATAGGTATTTAGATAGCTAGATACCTACGTACATACATCTATACGTACAAACATAGCCTGAAAGGCATATGAGAGGAAAGATTTTAATGTGCCCCATGAGAAGTTCGCACTCTCTTTAAGCCAAGGTTGGAAGTTAGGAGGTGGAGTACTCTGTTGATTGCAAGAATGACCAGCCAAGGATTTTCCACGCTGCCCTGCTGGGAAAAACAAAAAAACAAACAAACAAACAAGATGTTGTTGTTCTAATTTTTAGGTTTATGAATTCCAAAAGATTTTGAACATTGTCAATGATAAAACAAACCTTTCCTATTCTTTTCTCTCTTTTTAATATTTTGTAGCCTTTTGAGGGAGTGTAAAGCTTTATTCATCAGAGCTGGGAGGACTGAGGAGGCTGCTCAGTTGCTTCCCCTTCATGTGCACTGATCTAACCCTGACCCCAACAGAATTAACTGAGGGACTGAGGTGAGGAGTTTGTCAACCGAGTGCCCCTTTAGGACCCTCGTTTCAGCGAGAAGTGATCACTCGCCTTAGCCCTTGAAGGAAAGGGGCTAAGGAAAAGAAAGAAAGAGAAGGCGGGAAGGAGAGTGAGAGAGAGAAAAATGAATTGCTTAAAACTTCTATTACTCTTCATTACCTTCTGCTTTATGTAAGTTCCAAGGTTCATTTACCAGCTGTAAGTAGCCCGGTGCCTTTGTGTGTAAGAGTTGTCATGCCTATTGCTCCCATTAATGTACTGCGTGAAACTAAAGGTAGCTCTGCTGGTGCTCCAAAGCCAAGTCAATGTAACTAATGTACCTCGTGCCACAAATTCGTAATTTTCCAATGTTGGACTAGATAGATCAGCTTTGAGTGTTTTTTTGCAAGTGGGCAAAGACAGAGATTACTGCCACTGTGAGCTTCCCAGTTGTGTATGGAGTGAAAAGGGATGTCTCGCTGGGAAGGACCAGCGTGTGCCCTTGCTCCTGGGTGCTGAACACTGGCTCATCAGGGCTGTTCCTGCACATCCAAGTGCTGGACATGAGCAGGAACATTGCTTCCTAGAAGTTCAGAAGAATGCTTGAAAATCTTTTCTTTCTTTGCTGAGACTTGGCCACATGCATCAGAGATCGGAGTGGTTGCACAGAAATTTGACCAAATCAGCCTTTTTTAGGATTAAAATGTGTTTTTTGGCAGAGAAGCCTCAGGATGCCTTTAAAATGTGCTGTACCACTGCACGGACCTGCCAGTCCACTATGATCAAGACAGTGAACACTCCACATTCTGGATAAAAACAGCAACGAGGCAAGACAATGTGGGCTGAACACAGAGGAAAAATGTTCATTACCTGAGGGAATATCATTTTTCTATGAATTTTTCCTAGCACATATCTGTAGGCTTGGTCATGCCTAGAACTCTATTCTCATAGGAGGCAATTTGCAAAGTTTTTCTTTGGGTCTCCCCTTTAAAAAGAGAAAATTCTTTAAGAACATATGCAGTAGCTCAGTATTCAGGTGGGGAAAGGAAGGCAGGAGCTGCTAGGAGAAACGGGTCAGCCCAGATTACAGAGATGCTGGCCCTCCCGGTTTTGAAAGCTGCCAGCTGAGGACTTCATCCTACCAGGAACTCCCTGAGGTTGGTGAGGTCTTAGTTTCACTTTCCAGACTCCTACTCCAAGCACAGCGTTCATGGAAATGAGGTGGGTTTGCTTATTCGAAGTCACCAGAAAAAAAAGCTCACTCTTATCTTGGAATACATATTGAAGAGAAACAGCATTAACATTTTGGATTGCTGTTCATTAAATGCATGTTTATAAAACTCTCACTGGGAAGGGAGATTGTGATGGACATCATTGCCTGTGAGCCCCTGAAGAGGGTTTTTGAGGAACTGTCTAATGCTTTTGTGTTTCTTGCAATTGTTATAGGAGACCCTTCCAAAGAAAGGCTCTGAGAAGCCTTAGTCTCAGGGTGTCTTTTCTTACTAGGCTGGGAAGCTGTGCTAACATGCGCATCCCACTCCTTTGGACTGTTTTGGAAATTCTAGCAGCTGTGGTCTAACCCAAGGCCTCTACATTGTAATTGGCCATCTACAGCTATGTTGGATGTAATTAAAAAACAACAACAAGAAAAAACATAGTTCCAGCTCTACTAGATAGTCCATAAGGTTCCTGGATAAGCCCAGGTACTGTGTGCCGTGAAAATCACAGCAAAAGCCGATCCCTGACCACAGACCTTCAAACCTAAATGCATGAGAAGGTCAGAGGAGGGAAGGAGACATTAGCACAGCAAGGGACAGTGATTTATCCAAGGCCACCCAGCAAATCTATGGCAGAGTTAGGATTTTTCCAGCCACCACATTAGTCCTCACAGCACCAAAGTAAAATGTTTTCTTGCAATGCAAAAAATCCTCTTTTCTATATTTAGCTGAAGAATTACTCCTGCAACACAATAGTTCTCGTAGGTTCCTTGGACAAAATAATATTTTTAAATTGAATGCCAGTGGAAGCAAAGACGTTCTGACATTTCCTGGAAAATTGTACTCTAGACTGTTAAGGATGGGCAACCCCTTTGGATGTGCTGCAAGCATGAACTCTTCAGATTTATACATTTCAGTCAGAGTTGCCTGCAACCCTTTGCAAAATCGGAGGAGAATTTCATACTCTTTTCCCCTCTATCTCTTTACGCTGAGACAAATCTCCAGGAAAATTCATTACGCGGTTTAAGTGATGGGATTTATCGTTCCATTCAGATTCTCAAACTCACAACTCTCCTCGCTGTCATACCAGCAAGGCAATTCTAATTTGTTTCTTTCATATTTCCACCATGAAGTTTGCGTCTGAACGATGGGAAGAAAACAGAGGTGAAAGCCGAGAATGTCTTCGGGGCTAAACGCAGAGCCATGGGCCAATTTAGTGCCTGCTGCTTCCCTGGATGGGACTGGGGAGCCATTGCAAAATGGGAGATCATCTTGGCCAGTTCATAGGAACCTAATGTGAAGCTTTGTACCGGGGGTCCCATACAGCATGGGAGTATCATGGAAGTACAGACAGATCTGTCACCTACCGCGGTGAGGGTTTCTCGCTCCTGAAGGAAGGCAGGAGGTGCTGGCTTAGCTACTCCAGAGAGCCGCTCCTTGTGTGTGCTGAATTTCTCTGAGATCTCACCACGGTTGGAGTGCCTCTTCTGCTGCCTCCTCCCTGGGCAGGACTCTAAATCTGGCACCTGAGTCTCATTTTAAATGCGTATGGCTTTTATTCGGTCTGACCTTCTAAGAAAGGATGAAATGAAGAAATTTATTTTATGTGTACTAAAATTTTTTTAAAATGCTGTGAAAGATATAAAACATTTTGGAATAACTGTAAGCGGTATTAATATGATAGCCAGTCCTGAAAATAAAATGTAGTCATAGGTAGGTAGATAGCTAGTAAAGAGATAAAGAGAGAGATCTTACTTTAAATAGATACATATACTATTCAAGTGCAGCAGCATTGCCATGCAGTTGCAATGTTCTTTTCGTACTAACACCAAATTAATTCATTTTGATTATTGTTATTACAGCAAATGGCAAAAGGAATTAACAATGATGAAGCAGGCACTTACTGCAAAGCACGAGCTGGATTTCCCACCTCCCATTGAGACACAACAAAACCTGCACATGGTTGCAAGTCCATAAAAATGATGGAAGAAAATGGAAAGGAAATCATCTAGCAGGTTAAAAAGATTCCTTGCAAGTTAGTGTCTGCCAGACTCTGTACAAGACCCGAGATCATCACTGTGACCTAAAAACAATGAGAGATAGAACTATTTTTTTCCCCCTATGGAATCACATTTTTGCCTCGAGAGAGGGTGGCATGGCCATAGTGAGCACCTGGACTGACCTGACACCAGCTGCGCAACCAAAGGGCAGCTTCTGCAGCCTGTACCTTCTCAGGTTATGCACTTGGAAGGCAAGTGTGCCAGGCTGCAAAAAGTGAACCAGGTCTGGAGGGCAGCTCCAAGCCTCATCGTCTTGCCCCCACTACATTCACAAAACAGCCCCACAACATCTCTCTGGCTTAACTTGAACCGTTTTTTTTTCCCCTCTGTGGCATCACTGTGATAAGGGAAGCACCACTTTTGCTCCTGAAGCCCCTCCTAAGTTTTGACCACAGAGAAGCTCCACGAAGACGTCAAATGAACTCTCCCCCTAGTTAGAGCCTGATTTGCTTGTATCTATCAGACCAGTGGGGCCTCAGTTGACAAGAAAAGAAATGAGAACCAGCTCCACTTGTCTCCTTATCTCCCTGGAGTCATTCCTCAGCGCTCTGAATGCACCACTGCCGCTGCGCAGAGGGATCCTGGCATCCCTGCTCAGCCACACAGGGAAAGCGCAGCTCTACATTTAGGGCAGTCGATGAGGGACTCGGATGATCTATATTCAAGTCCCACTAGGGCTGGAGAATCCCCTTGTGTTGAGGAGTTTATTCTGGCCTGGGAAATAATTGATAGCATTGGTAAGTCTGAGAGGACTGTGGGGAGAAAACAAAATCACAGCCACATTTGACAGGCATGATGGCAAAATTTAAAAAAAAAGAAAAAGAAAAAGAAAAAAAAGAAAAAAAAAGAAATTAGCCCTGCGCAAATGAAGTTTAATGCAGCTGGAGCGTCCTAAAGCTCCAACTCATTCAAGGAGGGGACTGAACTCAATAGCCGAAGAAGTCCCCACGAGAGGGCATTGCTGCAATGGCTCTGTGCAAGGCCCTGCATTTCTTTGCACTGCTGTTAACCCCTTCGCAAGACAGATTGCAGTAACACAGTCTTCTCTCCACACCATCTTGGGGCTTCTCTTGGGGCCACAGACTTGATTTGCCTCTATCATCAGCTTGGTCTGGACCCCCTCCACCTCCTCCCAGCCCTAGCATTAACAAATGCTCTAACACATGCTCATCTTAGAAGAACTGCTGGGTTGGAGCCCAACTGCATTAGGGACTTTAGTGTTACCGTGTCCTCCTTTTAAACAGTCAGGACAGACTGAGCATGAGTGGGAGCAAACAGCATTTCATTAGCAACAGAGATCCCACATGCATTGGGGCAACAGGGGCATTGCTCAGCTTGGTGGCCTTTCATTTGCTTTCCTCTGTGTGCTCTCAATTTCTTTTGAGAGCAGGAACAAGATTGTAGGCATGGGCCTGACACCTCCTTGGGCAGCTCCCAGCTGCTGGTAAAAACTCTGGTGATACTCGCCGTTAAGTGCCCAGCGAGAACAGAGGCGTTTGGTATGCGGGCTGGCACCATAGCCATCATTGCGTTCAGGGGATGTTATGGGAAGTGTCACACAGACAGGGCTTATCAGACTTCCCATAATTAATGTGTCTCTACCCTGAATCCCAGCCAGCACCTTGCCAGGGCTTATGCCCCCCTTTTACATAGCTATTAGAGTTTGATGGACCGAGGCTGTGAGCTGAGAATGGTCAAGACAGCTGGCATTGCTTAGGGGACCACGCGACTTCCTGCAGTACTCTGGGACATCCATGCCACCTCTTAGCTGGAGGTGGCTGGGCTGGCTCAGGGGTCACATCCAGGGTCCCCACGGCTGGTTTGGGCTCTGCCAAGGACAATCTTTAGCTACTTCATATGGGCGGGCAAGAAACCCTGAAAGAGCAGCTCTGGAGCAGCTCGCCCAGAGAGATGGGCAAGACCCAGAGGTTTGGGGCCCTGCTCTGCCCTGGATGGTTTTGAGCCTCTCTCTGCTCCCTCAATGCCAGCACTTTCCTACAGACATATTTTGAGGTACTCAGAAAGAAAGACAGGAAGAAAGACCTGTTTGTAGACCAAACCCATTCCAGAGGGCTAACACATGATTCCAGCAGTGCAAAGAGGCAGAAAGACCAGGCTTGCGAGGGTCACCTCAGTGCTGTGGAGCAAGACAAGTTCCTGACAAGAGCCTTCGCCCTGGTACAGTGACCTGTCCCTGCAGCCACATCCCGTAATTCTTCCTGCAGTTACAGACTCCTGGCACCCTCTGCCAGCAGGTCTATGGCATTTCCAGGGCCCAGTCCCCACTGCACAGTCAGGATCATCTCCGTCCAGACAGGAGCACACTGCAAAAGCCAACAAAAGCTGTTAGAAGCCAAAGCTGTCACAGAGGAGGCACCATTGGTATGTTTGTTTGTTTGTTTGTAGACACCAAGAGACCATGTGATACTATTCGCGTCTTTGAGTCCTCAGCTATGCCGAGCATGCATGGAAACAGCAGGCAGCGCGTCTCCCTCTGTTCAACACAGTAGGAGAACAAGGCTGGTTTAATAAGGAGGTGATGTGAAGGTGGCTGCGCAGGAGGGAGCGCAGGGAGAGTGGTCCTCCTGCCTGGCAAAGAACACACTTGCACACACGCCAAGGCTGTTCCCACCCCAGATCTGAACAGAACCAGGGGGTCACAGTTTGTGGGGATGTGGGAAGGAGAGGAAGATAGCAGGGCTGGAGGACAAGGGCAGGGGAAGCTGCATGGCTGGTGCCATGTGCAGCGCTCCTTAGGAGTGGTTTTGAGAGGGACTAAAAATTCTGGTGAGATTTTAATAGAGCAGCAGCAACACTAGCAAGCATTAGAGGAACAGTTTGGGAGTGAGGGAGGTGGGACGGCTCCATCTCCCAGTTTAACAGTCTCTAACCAGGCTCAATACCAACCAGGCAGACCCAGGCTGCTCTGGGAGAGGTTTCCTTGCCATCCTAGCCCCTTCAGGGCTCCATTATCCCTACCCTCTGGTGCAGCCGGAAGCCTCTTTTTGCCTCCTTTTCAACTCCTCAGGGATGCGGCTATTTCTGTATTACAGGGAAGTTTAAGGAGAAGAATCCGTTAGGTGCTCATTTACAGCCATGCCCTTAGGCAGATGCAAACCTAGCTTCACTGAGATGATAGACTAATCCATCAACCTACTTCACTGCTGGCTTGTTCTGTCTGGAAATAGCATTACTGGGCACAAGTACCCAACACAGGCTGTGCCTGTATTCTCCCTCCCTTCACAACCTGAAGATGCTCAAGTACTCCTGGACCCACTGACAGGCAGAGCTCCCAAGGACATGAAGTCCTGTGTCCATGTGCCCCCACCATTGTGCTAATGGGAGAGGATCTCTTCCACACACTGATCTGCAGCTTTTGCAAACACGTGGGATGTTTCCTCACAGCCAGAAAAGTCCATGATGAAGTTTGGATGCTGTTTGGGTCTCTGCCTTTGCCCTGGAGATGCTCAAACCTAGGGCTGTGGCTTGCCTTCCTGCAAGGAACTAGCAATAGATTCAGAACCAATCTAAACATCTTTTCAGTTCCATTTTTGGATCCATCCCTAGGCATGAAGCAGGAACTATTTGTGCCAAGGGCATAATGTAAGAACAACTTCCTGGACCAGATCAAAAGTCCATTTAGACCTGTACAGCCAGAGTGGGAACAAGACAGGCATGTGCCAATAAACCCCTCCCGGTTCTGACAATGTACAGAACATGTATCTCTAAGTAACCTATATTTAAAAGCTTTTGATGGACCTTTTTTCTATGTATTTGTCTAATCACTTTTTGAACCCATTTCTGTTTTTGATCTCCACAACATGATCTGGCAATGAGTCTCATAACTGAATTAGGCATTGCCTGAAAGTGTCCTTTCTCCATAAGGAGAGAGATAAAGGTATCTTGAATTTCATCTGTTGCTGACATCAACCTGAACTCAAATCTTTCTTGAATCTCTTCAAGGAAGTGCAAGTCATGCTAGGCCAAAGGACTGTAGCCAGCAGGGTGCTCAAAGGATCCTCAGAAAAGGTATTGCTCTCCCCAGGGACTCCTACATTCATAAGGTGCAGACTGTCCCTGAAGAGTCCCTAATTCTGGTAAAGTATGTTCCTACTAGGGCTATCCACATGATCTGCACTTTCAGGCCTTTTAAGCCTTTCCCTCACTACCAAGCCCCTTCTAAATCTCTTTTCATCCACTGATGTAATGGGACAAAAGAGAATTGTATTATCCCCCAGAGATGGAGAAAGTAAGGCAATCAGATTACATTTTACAAACTCCTGCATTAAAAGGGAAGCTCGTGCATCCATAGACATGAAAAAAAGCACCAATTCTTTCTAGAAGTTTGTATCCTCAGTCCAATTTCAGATGAAGATGGGACAGCTCTGTCACATCAGGTTGATTATACCCTGGGCCAGCTTTGAAAACATCAGCCTGACTTCACAAAGTTTCCATCAGGCTTTTGCTGAAGCAAAAAATAAATCACAGGTCTCTCAGATGCTGTTCTCAGCCTTCTCACTCACAGATGCTTGTGCATTTGTCCAAACAACTCTGCCCCCTCCATCCTGCAAATTTCAAAAGGAGACTTTTCCACTGGGAAGACTGCATTTTTTTACCTTGTGCTTTTCTGGACCTTACCACTGGTTGGTCATAAACATAGCTTTAGTCCTGAATAGTGATACTTTAGTTCATAAGTGCTCTCTCCATGTGCCCCAGATCATGACAATGTTCTCTCAGATAGTTTCTGAAGTAGATGTCAGAACAGGAAGGACTGGGAGGGAAAAAAAAAAAAAGGAAAGAAAGAAAATTCCTAACAACCAAAGTGATCAGTGCACACCTCCATTCTCCTGATGTTAAACACCGCTGACATAGGCCCTACATTGCACAGATCTGTAGCTTCCTTTAAATTAGCAATTCCACAGACACAGTAGGAGCTTGCATATGAATTGTCCATAAAGGGAAGAGAGTCACAATATCAGCCTAGCATGAAACCCTGGTTTCTGCTTTTTAATTAAGATTTCAAGCTTGTGTCTCCCCTGAGGTGCTGCGGGAGGTTTTGCCAGATAGAATAAGCAGCCGGGGTCCCTCTCAGCAAATTGGCTTTTCATAGGATCCTAGCTCTGCTCACACATCCCTTAGTGCTTAATTCTCAGTGCCAAATTTGGAGTACAACATCTACAAGAAGGTAAGGCCCTGAAGTCAGGCACTGTGACCAATCCCTGCACGCTCAGTCCTTTTGTGACTCCCTCCTTTGAGGAAGGTCTTGCAGGCAATATGCAGAGGCATATGCAGAGGGGACGTGAGTTTTCGTATGAGTCAGTGTCAGCTCCTTGACTAAATGGAAGGATGACGTTCCCAGTGTGGATACCTGGGTTTATATACTTTAAAATCTGTTCTCCGCCCTTGCATGTTATTTTAGTATTCTCTTAGAGTTTCTTTTTCCCTTGCTATTCCTGTCTGCCATGCATCCCTGCAGTTGGAAAGTGAATTCAAAGAGACATGAACAATCAAGCAAGTTATCTTCCAGAATTAAAGGCAGATATTTCCAGGAACTTCTGGAAAATGAGTATTTGGAGTTATTCCCCCTGCTGCCAGGGTTTGTATTGCCCTGTGAATATAGACTTAAGAGCAAAGCAGTGTAACTGGTTGCCAGTGGGGTAGACTTGAATAGCAAAGCAAGCACTGGAATTGCAAATCAAGGCCATCATGACTGAGCGTATTTATAAACACAGTTTTACATCTCTTCCACTTCCACCTTTGGCCCATCTTGTCTCCTTGGATGTTGTTCTTCAGTGGTCATCATCTGGCAGTGACAGGCTTCCCGACTCAGTCAGGCCTCTAGGTTTTACCAAAAATGCAATGACAGTCTTCCTGGACAACGAGGGCTTCACAGCATTCATGCCTCTGTGTTAGAGAAAATAGTCTTTCCTTATTCTAGAAAGTGGTTTAATCCCCTACCAAGAAACAAAGATGGAAGGGAACTGCATGGAAAGAAAAAGCAGCCCACTTCTGCAAAACTCTTCCAGCTTTCCTCCCTCTCCTCTCCTGCTCAGGCCCAGTCAGGGATGAATGACAGGGAACTTCCTGGGTGACACTTCAGGCACTTGTGGACACACAGCTCACATGTGGTCACCTCTATACCCCAGGAAGCACCAGGGCACGACATCACCAAGAGCTGTCAATGGCTGCAAGGCACCTTGCTGGCCTTCCCGTGGAGCACCCCCGTACTCTCATCGCTGCCCTCCAATAGTAAGAGGGGGCAGATAGGGTCTGCTATAAGCTTCAGGCTAGGCTTCAGGTATATCCCACAGCTTTTAGCACTTTTCTAGACTCCACTCCCCCATCATAGGCTTCTTGCCCCATCTTTAAATGCAGAGTAAAACTTGGTGAATCATAGGCACCCCAGAAATGAAGCAGTAGCAAACCTGCAGAGTGCCAAGAAAACCTAACAGGCATGAGGGTCACAGCCAGAAATCCCTATCTCCCTCCCTTTTACATCACTGCCAATTTAAGATTCATTTAGCAGGAAACAAAGACACCAGAGATACCCCAGTGTGACGCTCCCCAGGCTATTGCAGTTTCCGACCTGTCAGGAAGCTCAGCTGCATGCATCCATCATCCCAGTAAATACTGCCCCTCCAAAGGCAGACCTTTCCTGAACAAGTAGGAGCTAGCATCTAGGTGAAGCAGCATCTTCCCAGGCACCCATGGCTCTCGTTGCCTCCCAACAGGCAGTGCTAGATCGTGTCCAAGACTAACCCAAGTCCCCAGAGCAGGGACTTTTTCCGAGTTTGCAAAGGTCAGGCTGAATGAAGCCTTGCTTGGAGGCCATTAAATGTGACCTGCACCATCAAGAGCAGTACCACAGAACAGCACAGCCCACTGCTAGCTGCCACCATATAGAAGAGAAAGCAAGGAAGGCCACACTGGAAGCACCTTTAAAGGTTTCACAATCGCTCCTATAAAGTATTTAAAGTGCAATAAAAACAGCAAGTGAGTTATCAGGGGCTGATCAGGAGAAGGAAGCTAATGCCTTGCCCTACAGATGTTCATGAAATATTAAGTGACTTTAAAAGGAGGAGGAAAAGGCTGCAGTAAAATAGACCGCTGTTAAAAGCAGGTCCAGCTGCCCCTGGCCTCTGACAAACAGCCAGTGAAATGCTTGATTTCTTTAAGACTCATTAACTCCCATGCTAGCGTTAATGGTTCTGTAGCCGTTCACTCCTCTTCCTCCCCACCATGTGAAAGGCTTTATTTAGAAGCCGAGATTGGAGTTCAGCTCCACAAATAATGTTTGCCTGCATGTAATTAGGCTTTAGCAGAGCAAAACTCCCCAGTCAAGGGACAGTGGAAATCCAGGTCACAGAGTCCTCTGCCTGCAGCCACCTCCTCCTGGCTTGCTGAAAGTAAATGAAGTCAGGGAATTTGATGAGGTGGCATGGACTTCCCAGGCCCATATTTTCCTGGGAGGTGGAGGTAAATTGGGCGGAGAGAATCCTGCTGCGGGACAACTCATTGAAACACATGGGCTGGCTGCCCTTGGCACTGGGCTAGGGGCTTTCATGTCCACCCTGCCAGTGGATGGACCCACCACACACAACAGCACAGTGCAGCATAAACCATGCAAGCCAGAGACACGCGAGCGATGCATTGACCAGCGCCTCACCCCATCCTCCCACTGCGCTTGCACCGGGACCTGTTCAGATGGTGCTTTTTCCACCCACCGTTTCCAGACACAGTCAGAGGCGGGGAGACCAGGGGACTGGCAGGACAGGAGTCGTGTCAGCTCCAAGCAGGGGTGCGCAGCCAGATCTGGCAAGGGAGGAAAATCACAGAGCACCTACCTTGAATAAATGAGCAAAGAGCAGGCAATTTCCAGGCTGGTGTGGAAACAGCTCTCCCGGGAGCACTCAGGAGCCAGCAGCGGTGCTGTCTGTTTGTCTCACTGCAGCATGAGCTGCACCTGATGTGTCGAGCCTGTGTGATACCAGGGAGCAATAAGCCATCAGCACCATGCTATTTTGTATCGAGCCACTGAGTTCATTGCCAAATGACTCTGAGACAAAGACGAGAAACATTCCAAACCGATGTTTTGACATTTGCCCGTCCCAAATAGGGACAGAAAACTGAAAATGCAAGGGGGAAAAAAATTGCAGAGCTGGAACGTCATAGAATTTCCATTCAGAAATGTCTAAACAGCTAAACAGCTCAAGACATCAACCTGCTTCTGCCCACACTGCTATTCAGCCCCAGGAAACCTGTGGGAGAAGCACCAGGTTCCCAGTCTGGGCTGGCCTCCCACATCGTGGTGCTAAGCAGCTCCCTGGATGCTGAGCTAAAGAGGAGAAACAGCTCATCGAGGGAGAGGTAATTTAGCCAAAGAGGATACCATGGTCATGAGCATCTACCTCGAGGCATGCAAACAACTGATTTCTCATCTGGCTACAGTATCAAATAATGAGGTGAAAATCATTTCAATAAGAACAAAATCTATTCTTTGGATTGAAATGCAATGATTAATTTATTCTCTTTAGATACACATTTTAGTGAAAAAGAATTAGGTGTCAACAAATAAAGTCCTTTTGAATCAAGGCTCATTTCATTTTCAAAATGTTGAAAGGCAGAATGCCAGGTGTTGTGCAGAGGTTTCTTTGTTCATTGTCACAGTTCAACATGAATTTGCAAAATACATTGATTAAATCCATTCTGATTTTTCTGACAGAAACATTTCAGGGGACAACTTTTACCCAGACGGCCCCACTTGTGGCAACTCAGACCAAACAATTTGATGTCAGCCTGAAGGGAAGTATTTCATTTCTACTCTCCTGAAGAAAAGAAATGAACACTTCCAACAAAATTGACACTTCTGGGGGGAGATATTTTCCAGAAATCTTAATTTCTACAGAGATAAAATAGAACAAGGACATTTTTCATGGAAAATTCTTAGTCAACTGAAGTTTACCTATGACCTCACTTAAGGTTTGTACTTTCCTGTCCACATTGCAGCATCTGTTTTCAAGTGTTGGAGCAACACTTTCAAACACAGGCACCGAAGTGAACAAGCTAAAACATTTGCAGACTACCGAGCTCCAGAAATCTGGATGCAGAGTTTCTCTGTTGATACCCAGGCCTTAGGACCCTCAGGAGCTGAAACTAGAGAGGTGGTATAATTCAGCATGTGTTTCCTGGCGTTGATGGAGTGATGTTAATTTAGAGCAGCTGAGAAGCTGGCCCCGTGTCCTCCTTTGTGCTCTGCCCAGCGCTGAACACTGGCCCTTAGTAAATCTTGTGCTGTCCCCTCCATATGTCCCTCTCTCTGTGATAGGGGTTATTTGCTTAGATGGGATGGAAATTAGAGAGGTAAGCATCTGTGCCAGCCACAGCTTTTGTAACAGTGAGAGCTATGCTTTTAAATGACCATCTCCTAGCTACATGTCAGCGCCGCATTGTATTTCTCCCAGAAAAAGACTGAGAGCTGATTTATCATCATCAATCTCCCTTTCCGGGAGAGCCATTTTGAACTCACCTCTCCAGAGCCGTAAACTCCTTTTTTCTCCTTGTAATCTGAGACAGTGAGACCCCTTGTTTCCCTCCAACCTCAGTCGGTGGGACCTGTTCCAGCAGACCCAGCAAACCATCCTGAGCTACAGTGAGATACGCTCCTTTCCCACAGGATCTCAAGTTCCCTGATTTGCGTTGAGCGATGAGACCTCAGGGACCAGGAGCTCTTAAAGGGAGAGGGTGCTCGGCAGTTCTTCTCACACTGCTGTTTTTACTTGACTTATTTTAACACTTCATAGAGTGTAAGGTTTTTTTTTTTTTCCTACTGCTAAAATTATTGCCCTTTACATTTGAAAAAGCTAGATTAGACTTGCCTTGTCCCTTCTCTGCAAGTCCCCTTTGGTTAATCTCATTAGTGGATGCATTCCCGGCCTCTATAGGGTGGAGGGAAGGGGAACTCACCTCCATAGCTGCAGACCCAGTCCCAGTTCATCCCCCTCATTTGCAGGCCCATAGGTGACATATCTGCATCAGAGGGAGCCTCTATATCAGAGAAAGATGATGCTTGCAGAAAATTGCTGAGCCCTTCATGGAAATCTTTTGCCTTGGCATAAATGCACATTTTGGACTGGCAAAGCAGGAGAGCTTCCAAGCTCACTGTGTGGATAAAGGGTGGGCAGCCAAGTGATATAAATTAGAGCAGACCCTAGGCTGGTCTGATTACAGCAGACCTGCCACCACAGTTTTTCTTACATGGGAATGAGGAACTATCCAAATGAACTCTGACAGGTGGACTCACTCAAGCCTGACCGAGCTTTTCCAAGTTTGCATGATTTCCTTGCACATCATGGTGGAGAGAGCTACTGATGGGAAAACTGGACTCTGCGTGCTCCAAACACCGGAGAAGTGAAACGCAAAAGCAAAGGGAAATGCTAAGGTTGGCCTGCTGCTCTGAGCACAACCACAGAGCTCTGCTGAGCACAACCTCCCTGCGCTGCTGGGAGCTGTGAGACTGGGAGCCAAACTTCATAGCTTGAATTTTGTTCTGGGAAGAATTGAACTGGAAGCGTGGACCTCACTATCTTATCATTATTACTAGTTTTATGACTGTATCAGCTAGAAGCCCCAAGCGTCCCCCCTGCAGCAAAGCACTGCAGAAATCAAAAATATGAATGGTCCTTTCAAAAAGAGTTTACTGTCTTCTTGGCTAGTGGCCCATCTCAAGTTTCGGGTTAAGCCAAATCCTAAATTCTAAGAAAAATCTCTGGCATTCCCCTTCTGTTTGAAGGGAAGCTGCCGACACATCTCACCAATAATCATCCAGATCTGAGGGGAGACTTTCAAATTTATGATGGGAGGCAGGCAGCCAAATTCCATTCATCTTCAATGAAAATCCCTTAGTGAAAAATCCCTCATCCCGTCACCAACATGAGCAATCAGGCTTTGCCCCTGCTGCCTGTTTTATTCTATGGCCCTCATCATCTTCAGGTCTGATTTCTTATTGCTGTCCCACTATTACCTCCAATTAAGCAGGGTGGAAGAGGAAATTAACAGTGACTCCTACATGCTCCTAGATAATGTGCCCTAATAAACTCTAATTCATTTGTTACTTTCAAAAGAAAATTTCTTGAAAGAGGAAAAAAATTCTGATTCACCACCAGCTTTCACCACTAGACTGTAACCTTCCTCTCCGGAACTTATGCATTAGGCTCAGGCACGTCACAAAGTGGGTGAGGGTAATGATTCATTTTCAGTATTTAAAGCGAGCCCAATAAATCCCTAAATGATTTTCTAACGGTGCAGTAAACTCCTCAGAACATAATCAATGCACATTAACAAAGCACTGGGAAGGCAAGAAGCCGGGGAGGAGGAAGGGGGGTGTAAAACACATATCATGAATCTTTCCCATGTTGTTTTATCGGTCAGAAACTTCCAAACCCCTTATTACATTCGACATGTATAGATGAGAAATATCTTTTAAAGCCATTCATAGCCTAGTCCGGGATTTTCAAAGGAGTCTATTGGAGCGGGAAGGTCTAGGCCAGATTTTTTAAGGACTATAAGTGCCTTAAGGTACAGGTGCCTGTACCTTATGGAATTTAAGGCATAAGGGACCTCTGGAGGTCTCTGGTCCAACCTCCTTCTCAGAGGAGGGCCAGCTTCAGCATTAGTTCAGGTTGCTCAGGGTCTTGCCAGTCAATTTCTGAATATCTCCAAGGATGGAGTCTCCACCACCTCTTTGGGAGGGCCTGCTCCAGGGCCTCACGACCCTCTAGGGAAGAGGCCTTTGTACTATGCAGCTTTTGGCGGTTCATAACATGTAAGGGCATTCAAAGGAGGCCCATTCCCCAACCGAAAGCTCGTGCCAAGTCCTCTCCGTCTTCTGGGGCTCCACACATGAGAGGCACATGCCATTGTATGACAGGCTAGGTAAGAAAGTACTTGAGAGATCTGCTTGCTTTTTCTCCGTATGTCAGTAAAGTTAATCACTTCCAAACTAAGGATATTAGTTTTACACCTCAAGGGGAAAATGGGCATTTCCCTTAAAACCCAGACTCTGGATGCATTTAACCCACCCTAACTTGAGCAAATAAAAACATTAAGCACCTAAATCAAAACTAGACATTTTCAGCTCTCTTCATAATCCTTAGGGAGAAAAGGAGCAAATTATCTAAGCTACATTCGGCCCTAAGGTAAGTACTGGCCTGTGGTAACTGGCTCAGACTTGAACATATATCAGCGTTTCAAGTTAGGTCAGACAAATCTTATACCTGGACCACCCCAGACCCTGAGCTCCAAACAGGACTGGAGGGCATCCAGGCATCTCTCATTATGCTCATTGTTTCGGGGTACAGAGACCCTGATTAGACACGGTGCCCTGTCATCCTAGGAGCTGCATGCACAGAACCAATTCCTGGCCCAAAAGAGACTGCCATAAAAATAGACAAGACAGATGGAGGCACAGAGATTTATGGAAAGTCACGCAGCAAGTCAGAAGCTGGGTTAAAACAAGAGTGCGGGCAAGTAGCAGGTCTGACATCCCTCAATGCTTTCTCTTTTGCGCTAAGGCGCAAACCATACACTTCAAAGTGATCTAGTCCGGCTGCTCTGGCTGCCTTGGATTCACGGCCCAGGAAGCTGGGAAACCTGTTCCAAAGACAGCCGGTACAGAGCCGTAAGGGACGAATACAGCTGAAACCCCAAACTGCTGCCTGCCTCTCCCAAGACCCACAATTTGTGGACAACCCCAGTTTTCTTTCTCCTGTGAAATGAGAATACAATTTTCTCGGAAGCTGGGCAACACCACCAATTCCCACGGCCTTCCCTAACCTTTTCCCAAATCTGCCATCCTTTGGAAATCAGGACATGTTACTATTGCCTCATAAGTTATATAACAGATAGTATTACTGATAGAAGCCATTAGATCAGTAATCATGCTAAATATGCTTTGTGTTCGTTCTTACAGTATTATGTTT